AATAAGCCTTCTTATCACTTTCACTAATTGTATATAATTAATCACCAGCTTTAATGTTAGTCTTTTTTTTTTTTTTAATTAGAATAGATATTTCCTCAACTTTATAAGTTCCAAATTAAAAATGTACCTGATTTTGGGATTGATTCCAGTAGCATTGTGTGCATGTGCAAACACACTACCTAAAATATGTTTTATTAAAGGTATCTGCAGCCAGAGAGGAGGTACCAGGTCGTCGTGGTTTCCCTGGTTACATGTACACCGATTTGGCTACTATTTACGAACGTGCTGGTCGAGTAGAGGGTCGTCAGGGTTCCATTACTCAGGTCCCTATTCTTACTATGCCTAACGATGGTAAGAATTCACCTGTTATATAAATACAGTACTTAATTTGTTCTCCATGGAATGATTTTTGTTCATTCACTGCCAGTCAAGTATAGGTTACCTTTGCATCATATTACTTCGGAAATTATTGTGATAATGTAAGTTATAGTGCTTTATAATCTGACTTTGATTGCAACCGAGCTTATATACTTAATTTTCAACAGATATCACCCATCCCATTCCTGATCTTACGGGCTACATCACAGAGGGTCAGATTTACGTTGAGCGCCAGTTGCACAATCGTCAAATCTATCCTCCTATCAATGTACTCCCTTCACTTTCTCGACTTATGAAATCTGCCATTGGAGAAGGAATGACCCGCAAGGATCACTCTGATGTTTCCAACCAGCTATATGCTTGTTATGCTATTGGCAAAGATCTCCAGGCCATGAAAGCTGTAGTGGGTGAAGAGGCTTTGACTTCAGATGATCTGCTGTATCTAGAGTTCCTTGCCAAGTTTGAAAAAACATTTATTTCTCAAGGATCATACATGAAACGCTCTGTCTTCGAGTCCTTGGACATTGGGTGGCAGTTGCTTCGTATCTTCCCCAAAGAAATGCTCAAGCGTATTCCAGCCTCAACTCTTGCAGAATTCTACCCACGAGACCGGCCACAGTAGTGTACAAAAACTTACAGGTGATCATGAAATTTAAGGGATTTTACTTTTCCGGGCAATGGTTGTATATTTGTGAAAAATATATGGTTATCGTTGTTCATAGATAGAACAAAAGACAGACTGCATGGGTAAATGCTTAAAAAATTTATGAGAGTATAATCAGGATAAGAGTAATTTGTTAAGAATTGATCAGGTTATTTTGAGACCAATAGATTTTTTAAAGTAACATGTAAGTTTCCTTTTTTTATAGAGCTTTATCATTTTTTAATCATAATAGGAGCTAGTGTTGTACAGTCAATAAGATGCATAAATTTTTGACATAATTAATATTGCATTGATTATTTTATGGGTATGAATGGTAGCAGCAATACCATTTGCAGTATGCCTTCAGCTGTTAATTGTCGTTATTAATTTATATTAAAAATGTTGCTGCAAATTTACGTGTAAAAATTGTGAAGCGGCAAAAGATGCACAAATAATTTTTCCATATTTTCTGTACTAGTAATTTATATACTTTTGTTTTGAAAAGGGGAAGGGGGATGGAGAGGAGGAACATCTTGTATAGAACACTTGATAACAATGAAGCCAACAGAGCAAACTTGAAATGAAGATGCTGTTATGCATATTCCTGTAGGTTGTAAAAACTCTTCTTAATATGCTGGTGTTAATTAGCACAGCTTAGCAATGTGGTGTGGTTGTTGTATATATTAGCGGAGCAGTTGTTGGGTGCATAATATAGACGAGTAACATAGGTTTTCAACCTACAGTGAATCGGCGAGAAACATTGACGTACATTCCAGGAAGCAATCACAACTGCTCTCATTTTGCTTAAGAGATTATACTTTTATTTCATTGTAATTTATGTGTATTTGAGATTGTGTATAATATGTAGAGAAATGTAGTACAGTATATCTTTTGTCTGGATTAGAGCAGTGTTGTAAAGTTGTGGATATAATGACTGGTATTGTCTCCAATAAAATGTATAATAGTTATTTTCTTGATTTATTAATCTTCTCATTTTGTATAAGGTATTATGAAAAACTGAATAGTTAATACGTACTAAAATTCCCTGCTTGTTACGAAAGTTTGTTGTTGCATATTTTATTGGCATCCGAATTTCTCAATCTAAAATACAAATTCCTTAAATGAATTTGTATTGTGCTGATTATTATTTACATACATGTAAACACACCATTAAAACTCGAGGCCACAGATGATATTACATAGTAAATGTAAAACAATGATACGCACAGAAATAACAATAGCGTGCTATATCAAATGAACAAATCCACAGGGGCCGTGATGAGGATTCGAACCTACGCACGGGATGTTCCCAGATGCGCCTTAGTCTGGATTTGTTAATTAAAACAATGATGTTCTAAGAGCTTGAGGGTTATAAGTGCAAGATAGCCCATTATTGGCAGACCATGGTTTTGTTTAAGGCATACTAAGTTGGTATTAAATACACAGCAGGAGATATTAAGCATGTTAGTGCTGAGAAGCTCTTATTGTACTTGCCTGGGAAGGCGGGAAGGAATTTTGTACGCCGTTATATTTATGTAGGAGGCTTACCGTGTTTCAAAACAAAGTACCCAGTATAGTATTTAAATTTATTGCTTGTATAAGTGGTCTTCATTTATTTTGAAGGAATCATAATAATGCATCAAGTGCTGGTTGTAAATGATAATTGGGATGACTGAAGCAACATCATTTAAGAATAATAGAATTTTAAAATTACTTGTTTATCAAGTTCAAGTAAGTTTATTGAGAACAGGAAGTACATTTCATAATAGGGTAGAATAGCTTAGGCTATTTCTATTCTTGTGTGAACTTATTTATGTCGGAACAAAGTTTGTTTTATATATTTTTAAAGTACACTAAGACTGACCATGTAGCCAGTATACTGTCTGGGTTTTGGGGGAGTCTATCTCATTAATGGTTCTCATACTTCAGTTCCAGGGTGGCATTTTCTCATGTTGCTAATAAAGACTTCAACCGAATTATTATTTTTGAGGTGTTCAAATTTTTTTTTAGGTCTTCATTTGACCATGTTCTGGGTAGTATTTGAGGACTTTGTCATTGTAAAGAAACACACGGGAGACATCTCCCGTTACGCAGGGTGCAGTCGCACCTCCATAGATCTCCAGTATCATCTATTGATACTGGAAATGGCTCAAAAGGGCCACCACTTACGGGCTATTCATGCCCATGCCACCTTTTGGGAGGCTTAATCTTCTCTCTCTCTCGTAAAGAAACAGCAGTTAACTGATAGAATCTAGTATGTCGGAAGATGAAACTTTCAACCCATCATCAAAATTATTAACAATCCAGGTGCTTGTTAATACGGCTGCCAAAACCTCGTTTATGAATGGGAAAAAACACTATACTGTACATGACTGAACTAATTATGTCTGAACTAGAACTAATTGAACTGAATTAGATGAACTTGTAGCTAGCTCTTGCTCTATCCTCTGTTATCCCTCGTATTGAATAGGGTAGCTGCACACTGCTAATTTTTTAAATTGTGAAGTTAATCTCCAATGATATACAAAATTAACAAAAACAAAATCATGAAACCACACAATGGAAGATCAAAACGTGTCAAAAATAGATTACCTTTTTCTGTAGCTTGGAAGGAAACTAGTTTGGAATGCGTTAAGTTTTTAATTATAAGGTAATTTATAATTTAAATTACAATTTATATTTTAATATAAATTATAAACAATAAATGTAAAGTGATAGAATGGATGGGTGCTAACAGATACAGAACAAGTAACTAATTCTGATAAGAGTTGAGGCAATAGACTATAAGGACATTAATGTAATTAAGGATGTACAAGGATATATAATAGGCGGTTTACAAGTTACCCAATTACAGGAAGTTAGCACACAGGCTAGGGAGTGCCGAAGTGCAACTGAGGGTTATTTGCCCAGATTATTATCTGTAAACAATGTACACTAATGAGGGGAACTGCAGCCAAATGACCTTAGTGACACTTTGAACTGCCTTTCACTTGTGCATGAATCACTGAGCAGATAACTTATGAAAGTCTTCTCATTTTGTATAGTGTATTATGAAAGGCAGAATAGTTAATAGATAATATCTCTTGATAACCGGCCGGTTATCAAGAGCTGATACTGGAGATCTGTGGAGGTGCGACTGCACCCTGCGTGATGGGAGATGTCTCCCGTCAGGGTCGTGACCCGAGCTGACCGCTTAAGTACCAGCGGCTGCATGCACGTGCAAGCCGATAGTCACTCGTTCCCTTCCATAATAAAAATTTCCTGCTTTTTCAAACAGGATTATTCCTTATGGGGCTGATCGTTATTAAGGACCTCTCACAAGGCACACCACCACCTACTGAGGACTTGAAGAAGGTTAGAGTTTAGCAGCTGGGGTTGACAGGCCCTCCACCAGCTGCCTCCTGAGCACCTTCCCTGTGGAGTTCCTTGGTATGGACGCCACCAGCTTCACCCCGCCTGCCAGCCGCTTGTACTGGGCCACCCGCTCTGTTGGGGACACCGGCCGGTTACCACACGGCATTTAACACCTAAGTTATACAAAAACTTAACTAGGAACAGTGACTCTTACAGTGTATTCACCACTAAAGGGCGGCATTATATTTCAACCTGTTCTCCAAAAAAAATAGTATTACCAATAGTTACAATGGATGATGTGTACTCAATAAAAAAATAGGGGCTGCGTCCATTATTGATTTTGCAAAGGGCTCGAAAATGAAGAATAAGAACATAAGAACATAAGAACAAAGGTAACTGCAGAAGGCCTATTGGCCCATACGAGGCAGCTCCTATTCTATAACCACCCAATCCCACTCATATACTTGTCCAACCCGTGCTTGAAACAATCGAGGGACCCCACCTCCACAATGTTACGCGGCAATTGGTTCCACAAATCAACAACCCTGTTACTGAACCAGTATTTACCCAAGTCTTTCCTAAATCTAAACTTATCCAATTTATATCCATTGTTTCGTGTTCTGTCCTGTGTTGATACTTTTAATACCCTATTAATATCCCCCCGGTTATGTCCATTCATCCACTTGTAAACCTCTATCATGTCACCCCTAACTCTTCGCCTTTCCAGTGAATGCAACTTAACATAAGAACATAAGAACAAAGGTAACTGCAGAAGGCCTATTGGCCCATACGAGGCAGCTCCTATTCTATAACCACCCAATCCCACTCATATACTTGTCCAACCCGTGCTTGAAACAATCGAGGGACCCCACCTCCACAATGTTACGCGGCAATTGGTTCCACAAATCAACAACCCTGTTACTGAACCAGTATTTACCCAAGTCTTTCCTAAATCTAAACTTATCCAATTTATATCCATTGTTTCGTGTTCTGTCCTGTGTTGATACTTTTAATACCCTATTAATATCCCCCCGGTTATGTCCATTCATCCACTTGTAAACCTCTATCATGTCACCCCTAACTCTTCGCCTTTCCAGTGAATGCAACTTAAGCTTTGTTAATCTTTCTTCATATGAAAGATTTCTAATTTGGGGAATTAACTTAGTCATCCTACGCTGGACACGTTCAAGTGAATTTATATCCATTCTATAATATGGCGACCAAAACTGAACTGCATAATCTAAATGGGGCCTAACTAGAGCAAGATATAGCTTGAGAACCACACCAGGTGTCTTGTTACTAACGCTGCGATTAATAAATCCAAGTGTCCGATTTGCCTTATTACGAACATTTATGCATTGATCCTTTTGTTTTAAATTCTTACTAATCATAACTCCCAGATCCCTTTCGCAATCCGACTTCGCAATCACAACACCATCTAGCTCGTATCTTGTAACTCTATCATCATTACCTAACCTCAGAACTTTACATTTATCAGCATTAAACTGCATCTGCCAATCCTTTGACCATTTCAAAACCCTATCTAGATCAACTTGAAGTGATAGTGAGTCCTCCTCCGAATTAATTTCCCTACCGATTTTCGTATCATCGGCAAATTTGCAAATGTTGCTACTCAAACCTGAATCTAAATCATTTATATATATTATAAACAACAGAGGTCCCAGGACAGAGCCTTGAGGCACTCCACTTACAACATTTTCCCACTCTGACTTGATTCCATTTATACTAACTCTCTGTTTCCTTTGGTATAGCCATGCCCTAATCCAGCTTAATATAGCACCCCCAATACCATGAGACTCTATTTTTTAATCAGTCTTTCATGTGGCACTGTATCAAAAGCTTTGCTAAAGTCAAGGTATACAACATCGCAATCCTTACCACTATCAACTGCCTCAACAATGCTAGAATAAAAAGATAACAAATTTGTTAAACATGAACGGCCATTTATAAAACCATGTTGCGACTCAATTATTAATTTATGTTTTTCAAGATGAAGACGAATTTTATTTGCTATTATAGATTCGAGTAACTTTCCCACAATAGACGTTAGGCTAATTGGTCGATAGTTAGACGCAAGTGATCTATCTCCTTTCTTAAAAACTGGTATCACATTAGCAACTTTCCAAAACTCTGGCACTCTGCCTGACTCTATTGATTTATTAAATATGGTTGACAGTGGGTCACAAAGCTCCTCTTTGCATTCTTTAAGCACCCTAGCAAACACTTCATCCGGCCCTGGGGATTTGTTTGGTTTGAGTTTTACTATTTGTTTAAGAACATCCTCCCTGGTAACTGCTAAACTCGTCAACCTGTCCTCGTCCCCACCCACATAGACTTGTTCGGCTGAAGGCATATTGTTAAGTTCCTCTTTAGTAAATACAGATACAAAATATTTATTAAAAATACTACTCATCTCTTCATCACTATCTGTTATTTGACCTGTCTCAGTTTTTAATGGACCTATCCTTTCCCTAGTCTTAGTACGATATAACTGAAAAAACCCTTTAGGATTTGTCTTTGCTTGCCCTGCTATGCGAACTTCATAGTTTCTTTTTGCTTTCCTTATCTCTTTTTTAACATTTCTAACCAGTTGTACGAATTCCTAAAGTGACCTCCCCATTTTTCATTTTAATTAATTATTATTTTAATCATTTTTAGTTGTACGAATTCCTAGAAACTATGAAGTTCTAAAGTGACAAAGACAAATCCTAATTTTTAGTTATATCGTTAAGACTAGGGAAAGGATAGGTCCATTAAAACTGAGACAGGTCAAATAACAGATAGTGATGAAGAGATGAGTAGTATTTTTAATAAATATTTTGTATCTGTATTTACTAAAGAGGAACTTAACAATATGCCTTCAGCCGAACAAGTCTATGTGGGTGGGGACGAGGACAGGTTGACGAGTTTAGCAGTTACCAGGGAGGATGTTCTTAAACAAATAGTAAAACTCAAACCAAACAAATCCCCAGGGCCGGATGAAGTGTTTGCTAGGGTGCTTAAAGAATGCAAAGAGGAGCTTTGTGACCCACTGTCAACCATATTTAATAAATCAATAGAGTCAGGCAGAGTGCCAGAGTTTTGGAAAGTTGCTAATGTGATACCAGTTTTTAAGAAAGGAGATAGATCACTTGCGTCTAACTATCGACCAATTAGCCTAACGTCTATTGTGGGAAAGTTACTCGAATCTATAATAGCAAATAAAATTCGTCTTCATCTTGAAAAACATAAATTAATAATTGAGTCGCAACATGGTTTTATAAATGGCCGTTCATGTTTAACAAATTTGTTATCTTTTTATTCTAGCATTGTTGAGGCAGTTGATAGTGGTAAGGATTGCGATGTTGTATACCTTGACTTTAGCAAAGCTTTTGATACAGTGCCACATGAAAGACTGATTAAAAAAATAGAGTCTCATGGTATTGGGGGTGCTATATTAAGCTGGATTAGGGCATGGCTATACCAAAGGAAACAGAGAGTTAGTATAAATGGAATCAAGTCAGAGTGGGAAAATGTTGTAAGTGGAGTGCCTCAAGGCTCTGTCCTGGGACCTCTGTTGTTTATAATATATATAAATGATTTAGATTCAGGTTTGAGTAGCAACATTTGCAAATTTGCCGATGATACGAAAATCGGTAGGGAAATTAATTCGGAGGAGGACTCACTATCACTTCAAGTTGATCTAGATAGGGTTTTGAAATGGTCAAAGGATTGGCAGATGCAGTTTAATGCTGATAAATGTAAAGTTCTGAGGTTAGGTAATGATGATAGAGTTACAAGATACGAGCTAGATGGTGTTGTGATTGCGAAGTCGGATTGCGAAAGGGATCTGGGAGTTATGATTAGTAAGAATTTAAAACAAAAGGATCAATGCATAAATGTTCGTAATAAGGCAAATCGGACACTTGGATTTATTAATCGCAGCGTTAGTAACAAGACACCTGGTGTGGTTCTCAAGCTATATCTTGCTCTAGTTAGGCCCCATTTAGATTATGCAGTTCAGTTTTGGTCGCCATATTATAGAATGGATATAAATTCACTTGAACGTGTCCAGCGTAGGATGACTAAGTTAATTCCCCAAATTAGAAATCTTTCATATGAAGAAAGATTAACAAAGCTTAAGTTGCATTCACTGGAAAGGCGAAGAGTTAGGGGTGACATGATAGAGGTTTACAAGTGGATGAATGGACATAACCGGGGGGATATTAATAGGGTATTAAAAGTATCAACACAGGACAGAACACGAAACAATGGATATAAATTGGATAAGTTTAGATTTAGGAAAGACTTGGGTAAATACTGGTTCAGTAACAGGGTTGTTGATTTGTGGAACCAATTGCCGCGTAACATTGTGGAGGTGGGGTCCCTCGATTGTTTCAAGCACGGGTTGGACAAGTATATGAGTGGGATTGGGTGGTTATAGAATAGGAGCTGCCTCGTATGGGCCAATAGGCCTTCTGCAGTTACCTTTGTTCTTATGTTCTTATGTTCTTATGTTCCTGTTCTAAAGTGACCTCCCCATTTTTAATCCTTTTGTACCAAGCTCTCTTTTTACCTATAAGGTTCTTCAAATTCTTTGTTATCCACTTTGGGTCATTAGTATACGATCTATTCAATTTGTATGGTATACTACGTTCCTGTGCTTTGTTTAGAATATTCTTAAATAAGTTATATATTGAATCCACATCGAAATCCCCATTTAAGTCACCTATCGCTGGGTTCATGTCTCGCTCCAAGACCGGCCCACACCCCATACCCAAGCCTTTCCAATCAATTTGACCCAAAAAATTTCTTAGGCTATTAAAATCAGCTTTTCGAAAATCTGGCACTTTAACAGAATTTTCTCCTACTGGTCTATTCCATTCTATGCTAAATCTGATTTCTTTGTGATCACTGCTCCCTAGCTCACTCCCTATTTCGATGTCATTAATTTGCGTTTCCCTGTTAGTTAACACTAAATCTAAAATATTATTTTCCCGTGTTGGTTCCTTAATGTGTTGCGTAAGAAAGCAATCGTCAATTAATTCTAGAAAATCTTCTGCTTCACTATTCCCTGTTTTGTTCAACCAGTTTATTCCGCTAAAATTAAAGTCACCCATGACATAAATACT